TTCAGTCTCCGGATTAATATTATATCTGTGCATTAAAGCTAAAACAACTGTATTAAGAATTATATTATTACGCTATAATACAATCAATACAAAGCAATATTTGATATGATTTAGACTTGGTCTTTGCATATACAGTACTTTTTTAAATAAAAGCAAACAAATTGTGTTTTAAATGTTTGTTTAATTCTGCAATGACGTGAAACTGATATTTTTTTCTTAAAAGTCATCTCTATGCCGGCCCATGCCCAGATTAGCTTCCTGTTTCTTCTTGATAAAATGAACGTACTCTTTTCGGTGTAGCTCTTACCTTTCAGGAGGTTTATTACCTTTAAAGTCATTTTTTCAGTGTTTAAGTTAGAAATATTTCAGTTTTGTATGTATTGTGTATACAGTTGAACAGAGGGTCGAGCCTCGAGCTGCAGTCTCTGCTCACTCCCAGCAGACCTGTGCATCCCCAACATTTCCAACATTCAACCCAAACGCTCACAATCTGCACTAAAACATACAACTTTACACCATTAGCGCTCTTGTTTTATCTTATTTCTGCACCCGTTTTACACTCAGACACAGTTAACACACAGATCCTTACAGAGGGGTGCATGTGTTGGTCTCTGGTTGTCTGCAGCCACGTTTTTTTCTGTGGTTGACGCCACAAGGCACACCAAGGCATCATGGTAAAGAATTAAACAGAGGGCTGAATTTTCCAACCATTTGGAAAGATCCGTCCTCTACATGGGTGACAACGATTGGGATGTGTTTGGTGTCGTTAGACCAGCTGACACTTATCACCCATCTCAGTCTCCTGCTGCTTTTGGGCTGCTGACTAAAAGGTGTCATTCAGGCCAGAGCAGCCAAAAGGCATGCTGCTCTATGCAAATTAAAAATGCAGATTCTTCTCCCCAAAAAAATGTAATCTGAGAAAATTAATGTGCTGCACGCTGCTGCAAGAAAACACAAAGGAATGCAATAATTGCTCAGCAGATGCCCAGAATTTTCAAGAGGACTGCTGAACTTAACCAGCCTTCATTTTTTTGTATTTTAAGGAGCTAATTATGTAATTTTTTATGAGAAATAGCAAGTCTTCAGCATAGTTTTTACTGAGTGAATAAATCTCTAAGTTGGCTTCTTTTAATATCTGTAAGGCAGGGGTATCCAAAAGTTTCAGGTTGTCCAGAACTAGATGAAAAGAGTCGTGGGCCTGAAAATTTTGAATTTAAGATAAGAAACAATTTTCAAAAGAGTGATTTTATTTTTTCCCCCTCATTTATAAGCTCTCAGCAACTTGAACAATATTTTGGAGAAAGGCTAAAAGTTTAGTTAAAATTATTGTAGATACAGAGGAGCCTCATAAACATTAACCTTTTTTCATTTATTTAAATAATTTAATTTATTTGATATTTTTTAGGTCTATTATTTTGTTTCTTGTGCTAGGAAAGCTAATTTTTGTTTACTATCAGAGACAAAAGCTTTAAATGAGTACCGGTAACTGTTCTTTAATAAAGAACAGCTAAAAGTAGCTAAAACAGCAGAAATAAGCTTAAATTACCAGAAGGAAGTGGAGGGAGCATAATTGTACTCAATTAGGCTTAAAGAAGCAGAAATTAGCACAAAAGGTAGAAATTATTTTTTTTAAAAAGAGGCAGAAATTTGCAATAACCAAAAAAAAAAGCTGAAACGTAGCTAAAAAAAAAAAAAAACTAAAATGAGCTGAAATTACCAGAAACAAGTGGATAGCACATTTTTGCTGAATTAGGCTGAAAAAAAAAATGAGTGCAAAAAATGTGGAATAAGCCAAAAAAGCTGAAATTATCATAAACAGCTATATAGTTGCTGAAATGGCAGAAACAGCTGAAACAGAAATAAGCTGAAAGAAACAAAACAAGATGAAATTAACAGAAAGAAGTTAGAAGAAGCACAAAAATGTTGTAGTTAGCAGAATAAAGCTGAAAGGAGCATAAAACAGCTGAAAACAGCAAAGTTGCCTTTTTATTTGCACAAGGAAGCTTAAATAAGCCGAACCAGAACAAAATGTGAAAGGAACAGTAAAAGGTTGTAAACAGATCTAAAGATATGAAGGATTTAAAATGAGCTCATTTCATTATGTGAGGAAAAAATGGTAGAAAAGGCTAAATATTTCCAAAAGCTAAAGTTGCACCAATACCAACAGTCATAGCATCCTTCTCCTGAACGAGCTGAACGTTTTAATACATGATTTGTTGAAATGGCACAAACATTGTGGAACGAGAAAGGTGCTAAAAAACCTACAGAAGGAAAAATGGATCACAATAGTGTGAATGCTTCATAAACATTCTCACTATTGGACTAAATTGGAATTGGTTGTCAGAGATTTGCAAAATTCACAAGTCAGAATTGGTCCAGAAAATTGCAATAGGTGCGTCCCGAGTAACAAATGAAGGTGTTTTCTCAGCAGCGTGCGCCTGTTCTCATAAAAACAAAAGGTGCAGGGTGTGTCGATGTGAGCGTCCCCAGGGCGTGGAGAGCATATGTCTATGTTTGCAGCATTAACCCTCTGCTCTGCTCTCCCTCCAGACTGTATCAGGATAAACTGTACAGCCAGTAAGTGATCCTCCATCTCACCTAACTCCTCCCCCTCCCTCTTCCTCCTTCAGTATGTGTGTGAGCGTGCAGAGTGATGTTAATGTGACCGACTCTTTTTCACTCCCTTTGTCATGTTCATTCATTTCATCTTAATCTCTTATTCAACATATCTTTGTACCAGGAGGCTGTGTGCAGATAAGTGTGTGTGCGTGTGCAGCAACACTGCAGGAGAGGCGCGATTTTTGCTGAGGGCCAGGGTTTTTCCAGGTCGGCCATTTTAGCAAAGAAGGATAGATGGAAGACAAGGATGGTTGGGGTTGATGGGAGGGGAAAATCACAGCGAAACAAGAGAAAAAGGAGAGGATTTGAGTAGGAGGTGTTCCTGTGAGTTTAAGTGAGGTAGCAGGTGGATGAAGGCTAATTATGTCTCTTTCATGCTGGAGGAAAAAGAAAAGACTTCCTATCCCTCCATCTTTGATTCACACCTTCATCTCACGGTTGTTTGCTTTGCTTCCTTGATGTTCGCCTCCGGACCGTACACGAGAGATTTTCCAAGGGTTTGTGAACGAGCGCTTCTTTTCATTGCCCATCTGTGTCTTTGTGTTGTCTGGGGTGTGTTTTCCTGCGTGTGCTTTTGCGCTCGTCCCGCTGCGAGCGGTGCTGAATCCCTGATGAAGTTTAATTCCCTCACGTGGAGTTTCTGTCACAACCGCAGCGAGCGAGCGAGACAGAGAGGGGCGAATGCTCGGTGACGGCAAGGAGGTGGTGAAATGGACGACTGCAGTTGCCATAGAAACCCCTACTAGCCACACAGTGCTGTTGCTATTCCGAATGTCTGCTGGCCAATTTTAGATCGGTTGTCTCAATGAAGATTTCAGTAGGCAGCCACTTTTCTGGCACACTGTGCATGCAATAAATTATACATATCGTATTCAAATGGGAGGGAAAAAAATTATTTAACAGCCAGGCGCCACTGAAATAGTCCACTCAGCAAAAAAAAAAAAAAAAAGCCTTCGCTTTTGCAGAGATTTGAGGCTTATCCTTCCGTTTGTTATTTAGAGCTAATGAATTATGAATCATTTTTTTCCACATTGTTCTCATTATCCTCCGCTTCTATTTGTGTTTCCATCGCAGCAAACAGCCTCCTCTTGTCTTTTTGGTTAACCCTGACAGGCTCTTCATTAGTCCCAGCTCATCGTGCCGGATGCCCTTTTAACGCTTACCTAAAATAGGTGCGTGTTTGTCTGCTTCCCTGTCTCTCCCTGCGCCCAGGTTGAGACAGATCACTGCCTCGCTCTCACATCAGGCTGCTCATTCTTTGACTATTCAGTTACATGTGGAAACACACACACAGACTCAAACAAGCATACACAGATTCTCTTTCCTTGCTCAGTGCTAAGCAGTGATCCATGGTAACTGGATGAGATGCTTTGCCCAGAGCACAGCTGAGTCTCCTCAGGGGAACCCTGTGTCCTCTTCTGATGCAAAACACACTTTTTTTTTTTTTAGTTTCACTGCCGCACGCTCGTCTATTTCACGCTGCCACTTCCATTTTGATCGACTCCTCATGTTTGTTTAATTAAGTTTGTGCGTCAGCATCTTTCCTCACCGCCCTACCTGTGTGTGTGTGTTGCTGCCTATACGCCTCCATGATTGATGCAGACACGCTTGACATTTTCTGCAGCAGAATCTGACCGGGTCAGTTTACTTTTCACCTACCACCCTTGCTCGCCTGCTTGTCATTACCTCCTATAGGTCACTGTAAGCAGACTCAGTCACGGTTCTAAAGCCAAAAGCGCCTTAGAGAAGGAAGGGGACTACGTGTGAGTGTGCGTTAGGAGATGGTGGGTGTCGTGTTCAAGGTTGGAGGGGTGGTTGTAAAGTGTAGAGCAAGGGGACGCTGTCAGTCTGTCAGATCTGTGCAGTCAAGTATGTGAAGATATGTGGTTGTAGACAGGCAGAGAGCAAGAGAGAGAGAGACATCATGCAAAGACATCACAGCTTCCTTCATTTTGCAGCACATCAGCACCTTGGAGAGCACCCCAGTGCTCCACTGTGAGGCTAGTGCCACCTTGGGGCTGACAGAGGTATTGCGCAATTGTGGAAAAAAGTTAAAATATCGCTTCCACGTCAAAGAACACAAGCATGTGTGGAAGTTGGAGGGTTTATGGGTGGTCAAGAGGGTGCAAGTGTGCAGTCTGTGCATGTGTGGGCTGTAGGTGGTCATCATGGTGGTGTAATCCATTCGCAGATGGATTGTCTTAGCGTAGGCCTGTTGTGACTCACAGTCTCCATCTTAGGCACCCAAAGCATTTGCTTATGTTAATCTTTCTGTCTTTCTGTGTCACATCATCTGTCTCTCTTTGCTTTATCTTCAAGGAGGCCTGCCTGTGTGTTTGTGTGAGCTGGCACAGAGGTGTTTGTCTCCCCAGGATACGTTTGATTCTTTCCATTCCCTCGTTTTCTGTCCTCACATTATTTATTCCTGGCTCTCCACATTTTCTTTCACTCTGGTTCTCTTTTCCTGTCTCTACAACTCTGTTTCTGTCCAAGTCTCTGTGCGTTGTGTTAACGGTGCTTTGGGCTATGTGTAGGTAAAGGCCCTGAGACAATCTTTGCTGGCTCAAGCCTCAATGATAATGAGTGGCACACGGTGAGGGTGGTCCGACGTGGCAAGAGCCTCAAGCTCACTGTGGATGACCTGCAGCCTGTTGAAGGTAACCACTGCAGCAGAACATTTGCAGTTGTGCAAGTGAAGCTATTTCTGCATTGTGTGTTCATGTTCTTGTGATTTTATCTTGACGATTCACTCCACACGTTGTATAGAACAATTTCATTTGAAACTAATGTGTTCAGAGCCCTCACCTCTGAAGTTTACCCCTGCCACCAGGTCAGATGGCGGGCGACCACACCCAGCTCGAGTTTCACAATGTGGAGACAGGCATCGTGACGGAGAAACGCTTCATGCCTGCCGTGCCCTCCAACTTCATCGGCCACCTTCAGGGCCTGGCGCTGAACGGCATGCCCTACATTGACCTGTGCAAGAACGGCGACATTGACTACTGTGAGCTCAATGCTGTCATTGGTTATAAGAGCATTGTGGCTGATCCCATCACCTTTCGCTCCCGGTCCAGTTTTGTCACGCTGCCCACGCTGCAGGCCTACTACTCAATGCACCTCTTTATGCAGTTCAAGACGACTTCCCCCGATGGGCTTATTCTGTTCAACAGGGGAGATGGCAACGACTTCATAGTCGTAGAGTTGGTCAAAGGGTAAGCGGAATGATGAAATATGCAAGATATTTACAGAACTTCATGAGTTTGTGCAAAATCCTTAAATTGGATCTCACATTTTATTTAAAAACTAAAGAAATAGCAGTTTTTGCATAACTGCAGCATGAATGCTGAGTGCTGAATGACTTTAATGAAATGAAATCAAATTCAATTACAGTAGTCCCTCGTTTATTGTGGGGGATCTGTACCCTGAAGCCCCGCGATAAGTGAAAAACCACAAAGTAGGAATAGTAGTACAAGTAGTAAGTAGTAGTTTATTTTAGTATATATATATATATATATATATATATATATATATATATATGGATGGATAGATGGATGGATGGATGATAGGTTATTAAGGAGTTTTAAACCCTTCCCACACTCTTGCAATATTCTAAACTGTTTCTAAATGCTCTAAAAGAGCACAGAATGTCATGATTTCATCTCCCTGCCCACTCTACTCTCAGCCATCTACAAGTGTTCTTGGCCACGCCCACTTTCCTGCTCTGCACGGAGAACAGCTGATCAGCTGCAGCAGGAAGCTTATCCTGTAGCGGGCTGCACAAAGGTGCAGCAGGTGCTAAATAATTTAAAATAATTTATTTTAAATAAAAAAAATCCCATGCCGATCGTTCGGCTCATCCATCAATCAGCCAAT